CCTGACCGAACTGCTGAAAACAAGGTCTTCCCCAATGAAGCAAAAGCCTAACCAACCACTTGCTTGGACAATGGGTTGCCAAAAAGCCTTTGAAAAATTAAAGAGGCTTTTCACCCAGGAGCCTATCCTTCAACATCTAGACCCGGAGCAGCAGTTCATAATACAAGCAGATGCCAGCAATGGGGCCATGGTAGTGGTGCCCCTGCAAAGGGATAGCAAAGGACAACTCCTACCGTGTGCCTACGTGTCGAAGAAACTCACTGGCACGGAAAGATGATGGGCTATTTGAGAAAAAGAAGCCTACATAGTCCGCTGGGCCCTACTCTCATGGAGACATTTTCTAAAAGGGGGGAAAGTGCCTTTTGAGGTCTGGACTGATCACAAAAACCTTGAAGCCCTGAAGACCCCCCCCCCCCAGGAAACTATCTCCCAAACAAATCCACTGGGCACAGTACTTTAGACAATTCAAATTTGAGCTAAAGTACATACCAGCAGGAAAAAACTTGTTAGCAGATGCCTTGTCTAGAAAACCACAGCTTGATAGCCGCCGGGTGTCCATGCTATCATTCCTCCCATGCAACTGGCAGCGCAAGTCATCACCAGAAGCCAGACCAGGCGGTCACCTGATCCCAATCGAGACAAACTGACAGCCACATTGAAGGCAGCACTACCAGCAGACCCCTGGCTCACAGTCAATAAGGATGTCTTAACTATGAGGGATGGACTAGCATGGAAAGGGTCTAAGCTACATATCCCTGCAAGCTTAAGACTGGAAGTGCTACAGCACAGTCACGACTCAAAGCTAGACAGTCACTTTGGGTTTTTGAAGACCTTGCACCTTGCTAGTAGGCAATTCTGGTGGCCAAAAATAAAAGCAGATGTGGAAGATTATGTGAAGAGCTGTGCCACCTGTGCAGCCAGGAAAAGGAGGCCAGGAAAAACCCCTGGACTCCTTCAGCAAGTGGCAAGCCCCAGCAAGCCTTGGGAGGAAATTGCAATGGATTTTATAGTTGAACTCCCAGAGAGTGGGAGGAAACACAATAATCTGGACAGTTATGGACTTATGTTCCAAGCAAGCCCACTTTTATGCTTGCTCCGGATTGCCTTCCGTGAAAAAACTGGCTAAACTGTTCAACAAACACATCTACTGCCTACACGGAATGCCCTGCCAAATCATCTCAGATCGAGGAGTACAGTTTACAGCTACGTTCTGGAGGGAGTTCTTGAAATCTGTCGGGTCCACACAGGGATTTAGCTCGGCTTTCCATCCAAGTACGAACGGCGCAGCAGAACAAGCAAATGCAATGGTGGAACAATACATAAGATGTTATGTGGATTAGCAACAAGAGAACTGGGCGGAGCTGTTGCCATTTGCAGAAGTGGCTTACAACAACGCCATGCATAGCAGTACTGGACTGACCCTTTTCAAGTTACCAGCGGCATGGAATTTGTCCCCATGCCTGAACTGCCCAGAGAACCCCCCTCTTCTGTGTCTTTGACAGAATGGATGAAGTCTCTGAAAAAGGGGTGGGAAAATACAAAAATAGCATTGGCAGAGGCAGCAGAGGAATATAAAAAACAGGCAGAAAAACACAGTTCCCTACAAATCCCTTTCCGTGTGGGAGATAAAGTGTTTCTGTCCACAAAATGCATACGGTTGAGACTGTCTAGCAAGAAGTTAGGACCTATGTTTCTAGGTCCCTTTCCAATAGTGAAAGTAATTAACCCAGTTACAGTTCAGCTTAGCCTCCCCTGCATTCTAGGGAAAATTCATCCTGTGTTTTATTGTAGCTTACTGAAACCACCCGTTGGGTCTAGATTAAGACCTCAGACCCAACTACCTCCTCCTCCTATAGTGATATAAGGGGAAACCCATTATGAAGTGAAAAGGATTTTAGATTCTAGAGTATACAAAGGTCAATACACGAGGCTGGCTCCAGGAGATTATAAATGCTTCTTTGAGTGAGGGTGTCTTTCCCACCGTCTTGAAAGAGGCAGTGGTGAGGCCCCTCCTCAAGAAGCCCTCCCTGGATCCAGCTGTATTAGCAAATTATCGTCCTGTCTCCAACCTTCGCTTTGTTGCAAAGGTTGTTGAGAGTGTGGTTGCACGACAACTGCCTCAGTACCTGGATGAATCGAATTATCTAGATCCGTTCCAGTCGGGATTCAGGCCCGGGTACAGCACAGAGACAGCATTGGTCGCATTGGTTGATGATCTCTGGAGGGCTCGAGACAGGGGTTGCTCCTCAGTCCTTGTCCTATTAGACCTCTCAGCGGCTTTTGATACCATCGATCATGATATCATGCTGCACCGGTTGGAAGGGTTGGGGGTGGGGGGCACTGTTCTACAGTGGTTCTCCTCCTTTCTCTCTGACCGGTCGCAGTCTGTGTTGACAGGGGGGCAGAGGTCGACCCCGAGGCCCCTTATATGTGGGGTGCCACAAGGATCGGTCCTCTCGCCCCTTCTATTCAACATTTATGTGAAGCCGCTGGGTGAGATCATCCGTGGTTTTGGGGTGAAGTACCATCAGTATGCTGATGACACCCAGCTGTACATCTCCACCCCAGACCACCCCAATGATGCCCTCGAGGTGATGTCCCGGTGCCTGGAGGCCGTACAGATCTGGATGGGGAGGAACAAACTCAGACTCAACCCATCCAAGACCGAGTGGCTGTGGTTTCCGTCATCCCGATATAGTCAGTTGGCGTCATCTCTGACTATTGGGGGTGAGTCGTTGGCCCCCACAGATGGGGTTCGCATCTTGGGCATCCTCCTGGACTCACGGCTGTCTTTTGAAGAGCATATGACGGCCGTAGCCAGGAGGACTTTTTATCAGGTTCGCCTGATTCGCCAGTTGCATCCCTTTCTGGATCGGGACTCGTTACGCACGGTCACTCACGCCCTTGTCACCTCACGCCTGGATTATTGTAATGCTCTCTACATGGGGCTCCCCTTGAGAAGCACCCGAAGGCTCCAACTGGTCCAGAATGCGGCCGCGTGGGTGGTAATGGGAGCAATGTGGCACTCTCATGTAACCCCCCTCCTGCGCGAGCTGCACTGGCTCCCAGTGGTCTTCCGGGTGCGCTTCAAGGTTTTGGTTACTATCTTTAGAGCGCTCCATGGCTCAGGACCAGGGTACTTACGAGACCGCCTCCTGCCACCAATAGCCTCTCACCGACCAGTTCGCTCCCATAGAGAGGGACTCCTCAGGGTGCCGTCGGCCAAACAATGTCGACTGACGGCCCCCAGGGGGAGAGCCTTTTCTGTGGGGGCACCTACCATCTGGAACGGGCTTCCCCCGGAGTTACGAAACATCCAAGACTTACGCATATTCCGCCGTGCCCTGAAAACATTTCTATTCCAACAAGCTGGTCTGGCCTAACTCTCCCTTTTTAATTGGCTTTTAAACTGGCTTTTAAATTGGGTTTTAAACCTCTTTAGATAAATTTGGATGTTTTTTAATCTTTGAGCCTAAATTACTTAATCTGTTTCTTAATAGTTTTTAACTTCTATATGTATTTGTATTTATTATGGCTGTTCACCGCCCTGAGTCTTTCGGGAGTAGGGCGGTATACAAATATGAAAAATAAATAAATAAATAAATAAATAAATTACAATACTTACTTCATTGGAAAGGGGACCCTTTGTCTGAAGCTACCTGGGTTAAGAATTGGAATGTGAGGGCAGGTATTGGTTAAGCAATTCCATGACAAATATCCTGATAATCCAAATGGTCCCCCTGGGGGGGAGGGGTGGTTAAGTGAATGATTTTAACCTCCTGTGTTACTCTCGTTCTAGGACATGCTTTTCTGTTGAGGGGGGGGGCGCCTGTCAGATCTGGAAGCCATCTTTTACTTTTGGGCCTTTAGGTTTGCCACATCTTCTTCTGTGGGAAAATGGGAGGAGGGATTGCATAGAGTGTAGATGATATGTGGTCAAAATAACATTCCTTTCTCAGAGAGTCAAGGATGCATTGCCCTGGCACCTGAAGTCAGATGACTGGGAGGTGTCTTCAATTTGGACAGTGGATGATTGGACCATGTGATGGACATGAGGGTGTTGGACAAGGACTTGAACTTTCACTTGGGTGTGGAAAACCTGGAAACTTTCAGATTCAGGTTTTCCCAGATGTGCCAATATCTCTAATAAAAAGTAACTTTGAGGAAATCCAAGCCTCTGAATTTTCTTTCATTGGGGGTGTTACTTGGAACCCTGGCATTAACTTAATTAAAAAAGAACCACATGGCATAGTAATAGTTAAAAAAGGAGCATGTGCTTTGAGCATATTTCCTGCCAAAAAGGTCCTTTCCCATAGAAGGTTCTCAATAGAATTTCAGCACAAATTCAGAATCCATATGTGTGAAAAAATACTGCTTCAATTCGTTTTCAGGTATAATATAAACAAATGCCTATGTATAATGTCAGCTTGTTTTTAATGTTTATCTTTGGACTAAAACAAAGAGAAAGATAACTCTAGCAAGAAAGGCCACTCTGTATGCAGTGGGATACAGAGTATCCTACTGCACATAGTGGTCCACATCAGTGTATCTCTTTGTGCAAAACTATGTCTGTAGTGACCTAGCCTTACACTTCCCATGTGAAAAAGAGCTGAGGCCGAGCCTGCAACCGAAATATCAGAAGCCCCTGGAATCATGAGCTGAAGGCGCTGGGTTTGGGCAGAGTTGCCTCACTGCTCCCTGTAGTGCTTGTCTGTTTCAAGCTCTCTGGCCACTTCAGAGGCTCCCCAACCACAGCACCTGCCTGAGACTGGCGACTTCTTCCTCAGCTATCAACAAAGCAGCCTTATTCCTGGCCCTCACTATTGTGGCCCATCATCCTGATCTTGGCGCTTTCTGAGCCTCTTGGCACATGCCCACACTGCCCCATTTGCCTTTCCACTTTGCCCAACCCTTTCTACAGAGGGCTTGCTGGAGAGGCACAAAAGTATTCCTTATTAAGGCCACCTTCTTGGCCTTTGGTGGATTTGTCACATACAAACCTGATGGAATCCTTGTGAATCTTGCACTTCAGGGGGCTTTGTGCTGGCTTCAGGATCTCCTGTTCTTCTGTCCTTTTCTGGGCATGAAGAGGCCGAATGTTTTCAGTGCTGAACCTGAGAAACACAGGAGTCTTTGGGAAGGGAGAGGGGCCAATCTGGATCTCCACCTGATGCTACCAGAGGGAACAGACTGGGTTAGGGAGTAAGGCAGGGGATGTTCAGAATGCACGGATCTTTCTAGAGAGAAGACTTGTGGGTGGGGATGGATGCTGCAGTGGCTAGAAATCTCAGAGAGGAAAAAGCAAGAAGCAACAAAATTGTCACCAGTACAGAAAACAAAAAACTTGTTCTTAAAAGCCCAGAAAAAATCAGATTATTTTGTAGGGCATAAGGTATCCAAAGCATCACAGTGATTTATGACTGATATCTGATATTCTGCCTTCAGGTGCTTTGGAGAATAAGTCAACTTCCTCTTCTTTGTGACAGCTTCTCAAATATTGGAAAACTGCTATCATGTCACCCCAGCCCATCTTTTCACTAGACTCAGTTCCCACAGCCATTCTTCATATGTTTCAGCCTCCAGCCCCCTAACCATCTTTGTTGTTCTTCTCTGCACTCTTTCCAGAGTCTCAACATCTTGTTTATATTATGCAATCAAAACTGGATGCAATATTTCTAGCATAGATTATTGAAAGATAACAATGGACATTTATGAAATGTAATCCAAATCATGGTTAAGCACAATTTCTTAGGAAGTTATTTAAAAGGTTAATAAAAGTTAGGATAGAGATTTTATTTATTTATATTCTTATTAAATTTATCTGTCAACCATTTTCCTGTTTGGGGCGACTAATTTTCCACTCACTTCTTTAGGATCCACTAGATAATTTAATTACTTGAAACTGCTGTGAGGGGCAGCATTACACAAAGGATTGGGTGCCTTGAGCTGCTTAGCGGAGTTAATCCAAGTGCTTCTTCTAATCTTTCCAACAAGAATTCATGCTGGGCCTGCTTCTACTTTCCCAGGGAACTTGTATGCCGCGTACTGTATCTTGCTGAAGGCAACTCGAGGTGAATAATTTATTTTTACTTCTTTATTTAAAACATTTATATAGCTGCCTGCCTTATACCAAACTCTGAGTTTTTCTTTTTGTTACCGTAGACTAAGAGATATTTTTGTGATCACATTTGCATTTTGCTGCAGGAAAATGAATTTTTTATCGTTTTTTCCTGTACCTTTGTCTTTCTTTCTTTCCCCTTTCTTTTTCTTTCCTCTATATTAGTTTTTGTTAGTTTTTATCTTCCCTCTATGTTTATAAACAGAGGGGGGGGAGGGAGAGAGAGGGAGGGATGGAGGAAGGGAGGGGCGGAGAGGGGGGGAGAGAGAGAACCTGCCCACTGGTGGCTGCTGCCTGAAATTGACAGGTTTTGCTGCTTTTGTTTGCTTCCTAAGTAGCTCCGATAAGCATGCTGGGCAAAGAGCCAGCTCTAGCTGATTCCTTTCTATGTGTATTTCTATTATGTGCCCTCGTATTCTCCTGTAACTCCTTCATCTCCAATGAATGTAAGTACAAATATCCATTTTCTTCTTGTTAATTATTTTAGCACCAGGGTGAGTGTTTCAAAGGGCAGGGGATGGGAGAAAGGGGCTATGCCTTTTATCTAGCTTCCTCGTGAGTCACATTCTGGAAAGCTTCCCTGCCATTTGGACTCATCAGATTGTTGGGGTTATATTTGTCTGATGCTGTCAAGCAAAAGAAATTTGCAGTAAAACTATAAACTCAGATGAAGTCATGCCATTTTTTTTCACTTAGTGCCCACTTTGATCAAGTTGCTGGTCCCCACTGTGGTCTCTAAATGAGAATTACCTGTACTAAAGAAGAAAAACAAATACTATGAAAACTGCTGAAAACTCAGACATGAGAAACATGATACTTGTAGGATCTGGATGCTCAAAACTAGATCTTTTAGAGCCTCTCCTAAAATATTTTTTCTTAATCAGAAGTAATTCCTTAAAGACCAGCTTTTGAAGATGAATTCCTTAATACACAATGAATCATGTGCTATGAATAACTAGAAATCAGGCAAAATTCCAGAATATACGAAGACTGGTACCTGATAAAGGACTCACGGTCATCTGTCAGGAAGGACCAGCGATATTTGATAAGAAGGGGACTGCAGTTGCTCATACTGATGTCACGGATAACTTCTGTGTCATTCAAGATGCAGCCAAAATTGAGATCCATTGTTTGGAAGTGGAGGTTTGGGAAATGCACTTCCCCCCGGAGATCAACATAGTCCACATGAGGATGCTCCAAGTAACGCAAAACGAGAACTTCTTCTGATACTCGACTACACAGGTCATCTCTATAGAAGGGGTTAAACCTGACTGAAAGATGATGTATCCCTCCAATGTCCATCTTTAAAGGCTGAATTGGAATAAAAGTTAAGTGTACATTAGTAATTTGTTTACACATGATGGGTTCTGTGCACATTTTTAAATGGCTAAAACTTACCTTGAGGGCATTCTAGGTAAAGAATGAAATAGGAGCTCTCTTTTTTCCAGTTACGTATCTATGTATACATTTATTTATTTATTGAAATTTATTGGCCTCCTAACACCGGTAGACTCTGAATGGACTGAAGCACTTAGCAGAAGTTAGATAGGGAGGAAGAGCAGGAGGAAGCCAAGGATGTGGGCAGCAGCTGGGGGGGGGGTGTAACAGAAAGCACTGGAAAGAGGAGGGGGAGAACAGTTATTGGGGTGCCTTAATTCATCAAACTTGTAAAGTGGCCCAACTCCATAAGGTCTCTGACTGGGGTACAATATTAGGAACAGATTAGAATAATTAACAAATCTGAAAATATATATTACAATGATATGAAAATATAGATTATGATAATATGTTAAACTAAGGGATAGAAGGGAGAGGGGTGAGTCACACCAACCTTCCCTTCTCAGCCTGAGTGGCTCTGGGATCCCTGCAGGTTTGATTCTGCCCCAAACCCTAAGCAACAAAAAACATTCTGTCAAACCAAAATTTGAAACTTGGCAGAATTTCAAAAATGTGATTTGCTTGTTTTGGTTTTGAATCAAAACACTGTCAGTATATTCATGAACTGGCATAGCAACAGGTCAACCAATGGGGTACTGTTTGGTAACTGAAACATAATATTTGTTGCATGGGGCCATAAGAGACAGTTTGGGGCCTGGGCGTGGCTTAACTGTTCTGTATATAAGCTTGAGGGTACTAGCTTCTCTCTCCTCTTTTTTTGCCTTCTCCATTTTGTGCTTCCATTTTGTGCTGTGTTTTAATTGCTATTTCTCTTCTTTACAACATGGAAAAACCTACAAGGGTATTGTATGCCTTATGTGTTGTTATGTATAGAAAGGCGTTTTGAATCCTGCTGAATTGTCTGATTGTGTATGCTGCAACAAACTCTGACAGGTTATGGGTCCAGGGCACACAGTAAGACTGAATTGTAATTAAGCTGAGAGACTGCCTGTGTTAATAGAGAAACATAAGACAGAGAAGGCTTGCAGGATGGCTGCTGTTGAATTTGAGGAGAGCTCTCTGCTTCGATTGGGACAGAAGAACTGTATAATTTGGGCAGCAAAGATGGAGTGTTTCCTGAAGGCTAAGGAGCTCTGGGATATTGTTGTTAATCCACCCCAGGGGCCATTAGCAGCTGCAGATCAGAGGCAGGATGATAAAGCAATGGCCTACATCATCTTAGGTTTAGAAGATGAACAATTTATGAATGTGGCAAATTTAAAAACTGCAAATGAAGTTTGGCTACACTTAAGAAGTGTGCATGTGAGTGTGTCCGCATGCAATGTTGTGCAATTATCAAGAAAATTATATAGAGCTCGGCTTGAACCACATGATTCTGTGGAGCAGTATTTTGTATACATGCAGAGTCTATTTGTTGAGTTAGAACAGCATGGCATGAAGATTCCTGAATCTCAGAGGATGCTGTTGGTGTTAAACAGTCTGGATGAAACGTTGGACATTGTTTCAGCAGTGTTTGAATGCAAACCAGAGCAGGAGTTGCGTTTGGAAGCCCTTAAAGTCTGTTTAATTTCTGAAAAGCAGAAAAGCCATTTTAGAATAAACCACAAGGAGAAATTCCTGAGGTGGGGGCCCAAGAAGCAGAGAGAGAAATGTAACAGACTGGCTGTCTGCAGAGACTGGAATACAGCTCAGCAACAGAGATGGTGCTTCATCTGTGGTGAAAAGACACCTTTAAAAAAGGAATGTTTGCAAAGGAAAAACTATTTGCAAGGAAGAATATCAACTGATGAACAAGTTGCTGTGGCAAAAGTTAAGCTATTGCAATAGCAGAGACAAATGGTTAATAGACAGTGGGGCTAGTCAAACAATCATTAATAATTCTTAATTGTTTTACAGGATGGATCCAGCTGGAGGAGATGCAGTGACTCCATCCATTCTGTTAAAGACATGGATGGGTTGGGAGTGGTTGGGAGTTATTTCCGAGGAGCTGAGAGAGATGAAGCGTCGGAAAAGACGCCTGGAGAGCGATTGGAGGACAAGCCGATCTGAATCTGACCGAACACAGGTGAGATCTTATATTAAGACCTACCTAGTGGCGATAAGAGCGGCGAAGTCTAGCTACTTCTCCGCTCTTATTGCATCTGCAGAGAACCGCCCAGCTGCGCTGTTTAGGGTGACCCGCTCCCTACTTCAGGTGGGGATACGGGAAGATCCCTTAAAGGGTCGAGCTGAGGATTTTGTACAATTCCTGCATGATAAAGTCGCTCAGATTCGGGAAGGCCTGGACTCCGATTGGGTAGATCCAGGGGAGGAGACGGGGGCAGGTCTTGAGAGCGTTATCTGGGAAGAGTTTGACTCTGTGGCTCCTGAGGACGTGGACAGGATTCTGGGCAAGCTTAACGCTGCCACATGTTTATTGGACCTGTGTCCCTCCTGGTTGGTACTGGCCTCCCGGGAGGTTACATGAGGCTGGCTCCTGGGGATTATAAATGCTTCTCTGAGTGAGGGTGTCTTTCCCGCCGCCTTGAAAGAGGCGGTTGTGAAGCCCCTCCTCAAGAAGCCTTCCCTGGACCCGACTATATTATCAAATTATCGTCCAGTCTCCAATCTTCGCTTTGTTGCGAAGGTTGTTGAGAGTGTGGTGGCGCGACAACTACCCCGATACCTGGATGAAGTTGTCTATCTGGATCCGTTCCAGTCGGGCTTCAGGTCACGATACAGCACGGAAACGGCATTGGTCGCATTGGTGGATGATCTCTGGAGGGCTCGGGACAGAGGTTGCTCCTCTATCCTGGTCCTATTAGATCTCTCAGCGGCTTTTGATACCATCGACCATGGTATCTTACTGCACCGGCTGGAGGGGTTAGGAATAGGGGGCACCGTGCTTTGGTGGTTCTCCTCCTTCCTCTCTGACCGTTCGCAGTTTGTGTTGGCAGGGGGGCAGAGGTCGACCTCAAGGCACCTTATTTGTGGGGTGCCGCAAGGGTCAGTCCTCTCACCCCTTCTGTTCAACATTTATGTAAAACCGCTAGGTGAGATCATCCGTGGTTTTGGGGTGAGTGTTCATCAGTATGCTGATGACACACAGCTATACATCTCCACCCCAGACCACCCCAATGATGCCCTTGCTGTGATGTCCCGTTGCCTGGAGGCCGTGCGGATCTGGATGGGGAGAAACAAGCTCAGACTCAACCCCTCCAAGACCGAATGGCTGTGGCTTCCGGCGTCCCGGTATAGTCAGCTGGTACCATCACTGACAATAGGGGATGAGATCTTGCTCCCCACAGAGAGGGCCCGCAACTTGGGTGTCCTCCTGGATTCACGGTTATCTTTAGAAGATCATTTGACGGCCGTGGCCAGGGGTGCCTTTTATCAGGTTCGCCTGATCCGCCAGTTGCGTCCCTTTCTGGATCGGGACGCCTTGCGCACGGTCACTCATGCCCTAGTTACCTCCCGTATGGACTACTGTAATGCTCTCTACATGGGGCTCCCCTTGAAAAGCACCTGGAGGCTCCAACTGGTCCAGAACGTAGCCGCATGGGTGATTATGGGCGCAGCTCGTTACACCCATGTAACACCTTTCCTACGCGAGCTGCACTGGCTCCCGGTGGTCTTCCGGGTGCGATTCAAGGTGTTAGTTATCACCTTTAAAGCGCTCCATGGCTTAGGACCTGGGTACCTACAAGACTGTCTTTTGCCATTAATAGCCTCCCACCGACCAGTTCGTTCTCACAGGGAGGGACTACTCAGGGTACCGTCAATCAAATTATGTCGACTGGCGACTCCCAGGGGGAGGGCCTTCTCTGTGGGGGCTCCAACCCTTTGGAATGAACTGCCCCCGGAGATACGGAATATCCCTGATCTCCGTGCTTTCCGCCGTGCCCTCAAGACCCTGATGTTCCAACAGGCAGGGCTAAACATACAAACATGTGAATGATTTTTTAAATGTTATCTAATTCTGGGTTTTATTTAATTGACCAAACTAAGTAATAATTTTAATTAGCAATTTTATGATGTTTGTGTGTCTATATTTTTCTTGACTGTACACCGCCTTGAGTCCTACGGGAGAAAGGCGGTATAGAAATATAATAAATAAATAAATAAACAAATAAATAAATAAATAAATAAATAAATAAATAAATACTAGTGATCCTCTGCCGTCGGGCTTACCCGTCTCTTTTCCCGTTTTTTTCCAGCCACGACTGCAGCAAAAGGGAATGGAGCTTTTTAAAATTTAAGCGATTGTACCTATCTATGATCGGATCGAGACTTTGCTCTTGAAATAGAAGCTTGAGTGGCCCAAGCAGCCATGGTAGCCACGCTGCAAGTAGAATGGACCAAAATACGTCCAGGTAAGGGTTTGGCCTTGAGCTCATATGCTTTCGCGATATAGGCTTTCAGACACCTGCCCACTGTAGCAGAAGAAACCTTTCGACCCATAGATGAAGGATGAAAGGATACAAACAAAGCTTCAGTCCGATGAAAGGAAGCTGTTCTTCTTATATACCTGTGGAGAGCCCTGCAAACATCTAACATGTGCCATCTTACTTCCATCGGATGTTGTGGACAGAAATCAGGAAGAATAAGTTCCTGCACCTGGTGAAACCAAGAATTCACCTTAGGCAGCAAGGCCGGGTCCATTCGTAAAACCACTCTGTTAGTATGGAAAATACAGAAGTCCTTCCAGATCGATAAGGCCGCCAGTTCCGAGATTCTTCTACCTGATGTGATTGCTAGAAGAAAGGCAACCTTGAGAGTCAGAAAACGTAGACTGATGGAACCCAACGGCTTAAACAGAGAAGATGTGAGGGCTTGAAGCACCAGAGACAAATCCCATGTAGGGTAACGATGCACCACAGGAGGGCTGAGATTGGCAGCTCCTTGGAGAAAACAACGAACCCTCAGATGTTGAG